AGTACCGAATTTCTTGACCTGCAGTCGCTCTGACCGCGTCTCCGCTCAAAGGGCACGGCAGCCCTCTGCTCTCCGGCGGTCAGGCGTCACAGGAGTGCTGGCGTACGCCATCGGTTTGTGGGAGGGGATCCAGACTTAACACAAGGCGTTCTGTGGGGTGGTGTAACTTTCCTCCCACAACAACTTTTCTTTGGGCACAAACTGAAGCACAGGAAGTTCCATCTGAACACGAGGAAGAGCTTCTTCCCTCTGAGGGTGACGGAGCCCTGGCCCAGGCTGCCCAGGGAGGCTGTGGAGTCTCCTTCTCTGGAGATATTCCAGCCCCGCCTGGACGCGGTGCTGTGCAGCCTGCTCTGGGTGACCCTGCTTGGGCAGGGGGTTGGGCTGGGTGACCCACAGAGGGCCCTGCCAACCCCCACCATTCTGTGACTCTGTGACTTGGAGTCACCGGTGAGGCAGGGCTGGCCAGCACGGTTGTTCCGTTGTTAGTTCAGTGCTGGGATAAGGGATCCGGCTTCGAACCTGCTGCTGTTTCCAACGCTGCTGTCAGTGCAGGGCTCACGCAGTTTACGTAGGAGTTTTCCCCGGCTCTGTGTCTGACCCTACGAAATGCAGACTGCGAAAGCCGTGTCCGTCCGAGCATGGCCCAGGTACCCGGGATATTCCCTTTCTAGTTAAGGTTACCGGGGATCTTTTTCCCCGCAGCTTCACAGTGGTCCCCGCTGGTGCAGCCCACCTCCCCCTTCTGCAGACCAGCTCGGAGGTGAGATGATTAGACTAATGTCCTATTGCGCAGGCTTCTGTTTAATGCAGTCGAGCTGTCACAAGCCCCACTTGTGCAGGAATTAATGTAACTTTTAGCCCTCTGGGGTTTAAAGCTTTTAGGCCAAACGCTAAGAGGGCAGTGTTGGTCTCTCTGAAGATAATGGTGATGGTCTTTGTTTCTGAGGTCATCCCATCCAAAACGGGCTGCAGGAGACTGTCAGTGAAAGTGTTGAGATAAATCTCTGCTAAGAAGCCGGGCTGACCTTTTAGTTGAGAGCAGAGACCGCCATGGGATGGAGAGGGTCTGTGTGGAAAGACCACGGCCCTGTGGAGGTCTGTGTGGAAAAGCGTTTGCAGAGGGGGTTACGCAGAAGCAAGCTGATGGAGGGGACTGGGGGCTGGTCAGAGGCTGGACAGGGAGGGGAGG